CGGTTTGTGAGTTTGAGCTGAGCCCCACGTTGGGCTCTGCTGACAGCTCAGAGCCTGGAGCCTGTTTCAGATCCTGTGTCTTCCTCTCTCTCTGTCCCCTCCCCTCCTTGCACTCTCTCCCTCTCTCAAAAATAAAATAAACATTAAAAAAAAAATCTTCATTAAAAAAAAAAATGCATGTTATTTAGTTCCATATTAAAGCCAGGCTCTCATGGTAGGAAGGTGTAGAAGTCCATGGAAACCCGGGGGTCCTGAGTGTGTGTATAGGAGCAACAGATTTGGGTGAGAAATGGTGTCCACAGCCTGAGACACGTGACCTCTACCCTCTGAAATGTTTATTAACAAGTCACTCCTCACAGCTCTTTGTTCAAATCCTTAACCTTGGAGGGCCACTGCTTAGAGGAGGCAGCTTCTAGCAACCACCAGGGGAAATCAAGCTCCGGACTGGATGAAGGTAAACCCTAGACCGAGGAGCCTGACCCAGCGGTAGAATTTACACGAGCCCCACGGGGATGCTCCCCCCCACGTATGCAAGCACAGACTCAGCACGTGCACAGGGGCAGGAAATCCCTGAGCTAGGCTCCTGCGGGGTGGGGTGAATGGCCTAGAAGATTCCAGCTCCCTGCAGGAGACCCACATCCTCTCCTGACCCGTCACTCAATCTCGGGAAATATTGTTTCAAGGAAGAGAAACAAGGGCCCCATTGTGTGGGAGCAGCGGGCAAGTTCTTCCCAATCTGGCCCATCTCCCTCTGAGCAGGCTCAGCGATGCTGCCGACATGCTGTTTCCTGATGGCCGGTCCAAAGGTCAGACATCAACCACCTTGACATAGCAGAGAGACAGCTCTTGGGACAGTTGTTTAAGGAACACCCACAGAGCCAGGGTCCTTTGCTCACCTAACCCACAGGAGATGGCTAGCCCTGCTGTCTCTCACCTTTGCCTGTGGAACATGTCCTTCTCAACCTCAGCCTCAATCCCAAACCTCCCCACCCTGCCCCCAGGGCCATAACCATCTCCTAGGTGCCAATGTCTTTGGTGCTGGGCGCTCAGCTGGGGCAGGCAGACTGCCAAGCCCGGAGGGAGTTCTTAGAGACTGGGGAGCTGGGTGCCCAGCCCCTGCTTTGCTCTCGGCCTCCTCCTCTGTAGATCCCTGCCTCTCTCTCCCCGTAAGGCCTTAAAGGTGAACACACAAAGATCCCCTGCCCTTAATTACTGGCCAGGGCTTCCCAGGAGCAAACAGAATTGGAGGCGCTCGCTCAACTCAAGGAAGGGGTGGGAATCTCAGCAGACTCCCTGGCCTGTGCTCTTCTCTGCTGAATTCTCTCTGAATCGTCTTTAGGGTGGTCAGTTTGCTGCCCAACAATAGCCTACATTCTTTCACATCCTAGAATGTCATAAACTCAGCATCTGGTGGACAAGTCAGTAGTTCTATACGAGGTGTCCAACCCCCCAGGGGCTTCCCTACAAGCTCCACATCCAGACCAGCTTTCCAGAAGCTCTGGAAACAACCTGGCCTGGCAGCATCTGTGGGATGTCCTTCAAAGTCAAGAGCTTCCTTGGGAGCCATGACAGGGGCACTGGGAGGTGGCTATTCCCCAACCAAATGCTACAAGAAACCCACTCGGCAACAGCAAGCTGACTCTGAAAGGGGTTCGGTGGGTTTTCTGTTTGTGGTGGGGGGATGAGAGGCTTTGACCATAAAAACCCTTTGTTAAAGCCCATCGAGGACCTGGGCGGGGGGAGGGGGAAAAGAAACAAAAAACAAACAAAAGCTGTGACGTCCCTTGCATGTTTCAAAAGGAAAAAGGACACGCTGCACATTGTGTGGTGTGCAGCGGAGGGAGCCAGGAGAGCCTTCTGTATTCCACATGCTGCATCTGTAACCACTCAAGCGCCCAGACTGGGGCAGTGGATGTGGTTAATCATGGGACCGTGTGCAGCCACACCGGGCTCGTGCGGGTGTCAAGAGATACGACTGCAGGCTTGGGCTATGCGTCACCTCCGAGCCCAAAGAGGCCCCAAGCTCTGGTTACAGGGGACTCTCCACCATGTGCACCAAAGCCACAAATCTCCCCACCCTGGGCCCAGGCCAATATCCTAACCTTTCAGCTAGAAGAAACAGCCACAGAAAACCATTTATGTTTCCTTAAGAAAATAAATATTTCCAAGAGGTTAAGCGAAAGTACAGGGGCTGGGCAGGGGCAGAAGTGGGGCCAACACTGTCAGTGAGCTCCGCGGCCCCTTCCTCCAGAGTCCCAGCTCGGGCGTCAGGGCCCTCGCTACGTCTGGGCGTCAGATGCTCGCAACTCCATTTTCCCATCCTAGGGCTCCACGAGTTGCCCGTTTTGTGGAGATGATGCCATGTACTCCCATACTGGCTGCGAGCCCCAGCTGGCCACAGTGCCTTGAGGTGGTCAGGGCTGGGGGCTCTGGTCAAACCAGGCGTAAATCCCTGTTTCTATTTTGACCACCAGGGAAGAAATAAGAATCAAGTTTAGAAAATGCCCAGTAAAGATATCCAGTCACTGGACGGCTGCATCCTCAGGACCAGCTTTTCATCAATAAAAGGGAGTCCAAGCCCTGGGCCCCCACTGCAGGAGAGGCAGACAGAGAAGTGTC